ATAAGAGAAGATCCTTCCTCTCCTTGTCCTCTCAAATGATTGTTGGATGAAGGCCTTAGAGTGTTAGGACTTGCCTTACGAACCTTCTTAGTCTTCTTTAACTGAATCGCATGAGATCTTCCAGCGTGAATAGAAAGGCCAACTTTAAAAAGTTTTGCCTCCAGCACATATTGACTAATATGACGTAACTCCTCCAGGAGACTCTTTGTGTCAGAAAAATTAAAAGTTTTTAATATCTCTTCCTCCCCTAGCTAGGTGTGGGAAGTTTAACAGCTCCTTTAACCTCCCCCACTTTTCAGAAAGGTCCCAATCATTATTCACAAAAAAGAACGAGCTGGATAAATTCTTAGAAGGATTGCGTGTTGAGAAATCCAACCACTTTCTACCTCTACATAAAACATGCCCTTGAAAATCACTTGTAAGCCTGCACATCTTAGATAAGTGGTCAATGGTCAGCCTAACACCGCACTCCATATAAAAAACTGTCAAGCCCACAATGATCGTAATCGTCATGCATAAGAATTAGGACAAGGGGACACCACATGCTCTAAAGATCTCGAGCAATTCAGGGGCTAGAGAAAATCTCAAACCCGCACGTAATGTCATCTCGTACACGATGATAAACCCATTTGGAAGATCTCATGGTAGATCAGTCTTTTTAAGAGCAACCATCACTAAGTCATTCGGCAGATGATATTTCTTGCGAATAGCAATCAAGCCATCCGAAGTAATTGATGATGAAACGTCATCAATTAATGTCGATCTCCTACTTTCATCGACCTCCATAGTTTGAGGAGCTTGCACTGAATCGACCACTTCATTAGTAGAAGGAACAACATCTGGCATATTTAGCGACCTGCCGCCTGGAGGAGCATACATAAATAAGGAGAAAATACTTAAGGATTAATACATCTAAAATAAGAAAGAGAGGAGGGAGAAATAATATATGTGGAAGATCATCTTTGTTCTTTGAAACTCGTCTCCTATCGGACTAGCCATAACCACCTTTTTGGGTATTATTCAGAGCACCGTCTCCTCTGGTTGACGACATTTGTCTCCCAACAGGAGAAAACTATAGCACTAGGCCTTGATCGTAGCTTCCGATATTTAAACTCTTGCCAGATAGTTTTTCTCCCACTAGGAGTGAACTGGATCATGCGTAAGAGTACCAGGCTTTGATCGCCGCCATCGGTATTTAAACTCTTGCCGGATAATTTTTCCCCCACTAAGAGTGAACTGGAGCCTGCGTAAGAGTACCAGGCTTTGATCGCCGCCACTGTTATTTAGACTCCTGCCAGACAGTTTTTCCCACAACAGGAGTGAACTGGAGCCTGCATAAGAGTACCGAGCTTTGATCTCCACTGACAATCTCCAAGTTATCAATCCAAAGAAAATATACTTGGACCAACACAAGAGATTGTACTCCTCATTCCCCCCAATGGGGTATTTATAGGAGCAAGAAGAGGAAAACTTAAAAGTCATTCCATAATTTTAATAAATATTAATTAATAAGAGGCGGATACTATTCACTTCAACATACTGATTTTCATAACGAAAGGTATCTTTGGGTAACATGTTAATTAAACGTAATAAGTATATTGAGGTTATAGCTGTAAAGTTATATACCGAGATTATAACAATACATATGTATTAATTACCTATTCACGACCACGTGGGTTCTAAACTGAAAAGAAATAAGTTAATTACAATGAAACTGTAACTTCTTGATAATTCTAATCCACTAATGGTGTACGAAAGTAGTTTCAATGATATATTAATATAATTATCATAACTATTTTTGGACCTTCAGCTTATGAGCGGTACATTAATATACATATTAATATCAAAAAAGTTACAGCTCAAATAATAGTAGTAGATAAATTTTAAGAGACTTCATGGCTTGCATGAAAACTGCAGCAATTTATAACATCTTAAACGTTACATCTTCAACTAATATTAGATTGGCTCGTAACAGTTTAATATAAATTAATAACTTTTTAAAAGTTATGGTAAACATAATAACAGAAGTTATACTTTTTTATTTACCGTAACAGAACTATATATATATATATATATATATATATATATATATATATATATATATATATATTTGGACTCTGTAAGCTACGACGTCTGAAAATAAAGGGGCAACTGATATGTGATCAAAAATCGTCGTGATCAAGCATGAATCTTGAGGCAAAATTGAATTGTAAGCTTCCAAAATTAAAATGGGATCATCTGAACTTCGATTTAAGCAAACTTATAGTCGAATTGATCATCTAAAAAATACGAACCCAACGACACCAAATTCGACACAATCTAAGCTCAAATGGGTCCAACTCAAAGACATGTAGCGCTTTTGGAAGGTTCAAACTACAATTTGGAATACCAAACAGCTTTCAAACGTGACATGCTTATAATCGAATCGAGCGGCTCGACGAGACGAATCAAACGAGCCTAAGATCATCAAATTCTAATATCATTAAGACACTAAAATGTCCGATAAATGCTCTATGATTATGGAAATCAATACGGGCCATCCGATGGAGCACTCCAAACCTACCCAGGATCTTCTCTATATTTACGGGGTGTGCCACTCATGAAAACCTATAAATAGACCCCACTCTCTACATGAGGGGGACTTTTGGTTAGAAATTGGAGAGAGCTCTTAAGCCACTAGAGCTCCACCACCACCATCTGGCCGCCGGCCACTGCTGGACTTCAGTTCGAGCTTCGTCGGACCACCGCCCGGCCGCCGATCATCCATCGGACTTTCTCCCTGTCACGACCCGACCCAATCCGGGACGGATCCCGCTCGCACCGGGTCGCGACACGGAACGAACAGACTGACCAGGATCTGGTTATGGAATTTGGTTCGGAACTGAATCTTCCAAATTTCCGGCCGATATTTTCTACAGTGCCAATCAGCCTGGCCGAAGTCCTCGATCGGCCTGGCCGAAGTCCTCGATCGGCCTGGACGATGCATACAGAAAATCACCTGGAGCAAATCTGGGCAAATTCTGGAACATATTCTCAACAGATCATCCCAGGACGATCCCAGATCGTCCCGGACGATCCTGGAGCAAATTTTGATATTACACTCCCGACCGCCGACCACCGCCGGACTTCAGCCCGACCTTCGTCGGACCACCACCGGACCGCCGATCTAGTGCCCGACCTTGGAGAGAGCTCTTAAGCCACTAGAGCTCCACCACCACCGTCTGGCCGCCGACCACCATTGGACTTCAGCTCGAGCTTCTTCGGACCACCACCAAACCTTCTCCCGGGCGCAGACCACTACCGGACTTCAGCCCGACCTTTGTCGGACCACCGCCCGGCCGCTGACTGACGCCGAACTTCAGCCTGACCTTCCTCGGATCACCAATAGATAGACTCTGGACTTCCACCAAGAAGTCGAGTGACGTCGTACATTCACCCGACTTTTCTCGGATCTTTCCTAGTCGACCAAACTTCTGCTAGGACACCGACGGATTTCTACCCGATAGTTGCCAGACCTTGGTCTAACTCTCCAAACTAATGTAATTTGACCGCTCTGAAGTCAAGGGACGGGTCAATATTTGTAATTCACTCAAATTTAGTGGAATCTTTTCACTTGGGCAAGGCCCCGTGGTTTTTCCCTCTTTGGGCTTTCCACGTAAAAACGATTGGGTGTTGTGCTTTCTCTCTTTCTGCTTGTGTGCTTGATATCTGTGCATTACTAAGACGAGAAATTTACTCACTCTTCCGCCGCAAATATCTTAGCCCGCAACAATTTTATTTGTTGGTAGCAAATGTTTAGCATGTGACTAGGGCTGCAAACAAACCGAGCCGAGTCGAGTATGTGAGTGTTCATGTTTGTGTTCATTTAATATTAGCTTGTTCAAGTTTTGTTCATGTTTGTTCGAGCTTTATTATTTGTGTTCATGTTTGGTTCATTTAAATTAATGAGTGTTCATGTTCGATTCATGTTCAGTTCATGTTCGTTCGTTTAGTGCTTAACGAGCATGTTCGCGAATATATTTAACGAATTTGTTTTAACTATCAAACAAATACGTTCATGAACATATGTATGAACAAACACATTTATAATAAAAGCAATTGTATATGTAACAAAGGCAATGATTATTTATATTTATTAATTTTAATGTCAAATATTAATTATTTTTATCTAGCTTATTCATGAGTTCAAAATCGAACACGAATCTAACTTTTATCGAGCTTAATGTCGAGCTTGTTCACAAACTTCAAATGATGTTGTTCACGAACATAAATGAACCGAACGCATTAGTGTTCAAGTTTGTTTATTTAAGAATCGAGTATTTAAAATATTGTTCAAGTTTGTTTATTTAGCTAATTAAATGATCACAAACGAGCTTTAATCGAACCGAACAACGAATAGCTCGTCGAACGTTTGGTTCGCTTGCAGCCCTACATGTGACAATCCTATACATCTTAAAGAGTAAACAGCGAAGACATTAAAAACTTTAGATTGCTCAAATATCCGATCAAATTTCATATTGATTATCGAAATGATGATATAATCAAAGTTTGAAAAGTTCTTCAGATTAAAACCTAAAAGACATATTCTTTCTTCATTTTTTTGGAACTATATAGGAAACTGTCATACCAATGGCGCAGCCAACAAATGACATGACAATACAATTTGGAACGACAGACAAAAAGAACTTATCATTTCTTCTCCAATCATACTAATATTCTTCTTACGTACCTCTTTCCAATTTGAAAAGGCCTGGGTTGGCTTTTTCTCGGTCACCTTAATATTTTTTTTCCTTGAAGATATATTAATTATTTTAACAAATATTACAATTAGAAAAAAAAAACAAATATTATAATTAGAACTTAATTATATGGCCTTCTGCTATATAAGCATGATGAGTCTTCTGAGCAGTGAGCACATCGCATAGACCATTAGCCTTAGCTTACTAAGAGATTCAGAAGCAGCTAATCAAGAGATCATTCAGGCGCTGCAGCTGAGAGTAATGGATCAGAAGCGGGATGTAATTATTGTGGTGGCCGTGGCCATGCTATGCTCTTTATCGCTGGCCTTTGCAGCTGAAACGATGGCTAGCTACACACATTCACCTTATGTTCGTATGTTCTAATTACTTTTTGTATTTTCATGAAATAGAGAACATATATAGAGAGGGAGGAATAAATATTATTCAAATATATTTGCATGCAGCTTCTGCTTGCTTTGGTTTCATAAACAAAGGTACACTGATTGCCGGATTTGGAAATTCAATGTGGAATAGTGAGCTTTGTGGGCAGCAGCTGAAAGTAACTTGTATTGATGATCAAAATCCTCAACAGTACTGTAAGAGCTCCTCAGTGATAGTCACTCTTGTGGATCATTGCGACGAATGCCCTGACTCCATCACTCTCTCAGAAGAAGCTTTTGATGTTATAGCCAAAAAAGAGGCTGGAAACGTTAAAGTGAAATATGAGCAGTAAGACTTTTTCTTTAATATTTACTTACACTGATCTTCTTTTTTTCTAGCACTTTTTTTAACAAAATTTTATGAAAGTTATTTGTTATAGACTATTTTCTTTGTTCTATTTGGTACTATATATATATATATATATTTGTTTGATTAAGTTCTCTATCTATGGATCGCAGAGTCTCTGGTTGATCAATTTTCTGAAGCGCAGAGGAGGAATAATGAAGAAGGAATAAAGTTTACCTTGCAAGGATATAACTACCTTAAATTAATGTACCTTTGTATCTTTGTGTGTTGAATTTTTGTTTGTAATTTTCGTTTTATTTGTGGGGAATGTTTAAATAAGAAATATCAAAAATGAAATTCAAGGTTGAGCCAAGAACATCTATATGTATATATAAAGAGAGAGAGAGAGAGAGAGAGAGAGAGAGAGAGAGAGATTAGAAATAAAAATATATAATATAAAGATGTAAGAATTATTATTAAGGGGCACAATATGTGTGAATTTATGATGAATTTGATGTGCACATCAAGATAAAATAGAAAATCATAATCATTTTTTTAAAATCTTATGTGAAAATATAATATTGTATTTTATATGATTTTTTTAGAGATAGATTGAATATACAACTTTGGAGAATTGGTGGGTATACCATATCAATATTCGGGGTATATTGGATTTCAAAAAGGATCAAATTAAACAACAAAATCCTATATGGAAGATTATAAAATATGGGTTACAATGATATATAGATCAGTATATTATTCCAATAAATTAAAAAGGTTTCAATAAAGTTTTAGTATTTTATGAATCCAAAATCTAT